GCCGCCGGATCTGCACCGAACTGAGCAAAAAACAGCAAACAAACAAAGCAAACCAACATATAAACAAACAAACCAAAAAAACCCACACAAAACAAAAAACAAAGCCAGATCTGCAAGGGGATGGTGAAGATTCGAGGTGAAAGAACGGAGGTGATGGTGGCGATGGTGGATCTGCAGAAGGGAGAAAAATCAAGGTTTTTCTTTCTGTTTTCTCCTCTTTTTTTTTTCTTTGTTTTTTTGGGTTTGGCTGCTTTGGCAGCCGCGCACCACACGTCCTCCTTTTCCCTTTAAAAGAGAAAAAGAGAGGAAACTAGGTTTTGTTAAATTTGGGTTTGATGGGCTGCTCAATATTGGGCTGGGCTTATGAGTTTGTTTTAGTAAATTTTATCCTCAGCTTTTTAATTTTTTCAATTGAGTTCCTTTCTTGTTTTTTTTCTTCAACTTCTCCCCCAAATTTTTCATAAAATTTTTTATAACGATAAATCCAAACGGTACACGAAAAATTCAGGTATCCGGTACATACCGTTCCAGTAACAAAATCGATACGCATGCCGGTACAGTATTGACTACTTTGCTTACGGCACACGGACCGAGAAAGAATTTGTGGATGGAGAGCAGTAAAGCGCCTGGATTTCCTCGGGAACACATGCCTTACGGGAAACGGCAGATATTCTGGCAGGAGATGGCAAAGGGAAGAGTCCCATTTGTTCGATTCTTTGCCGGATGATCTAGTCATTTCTATTATCTTCAAGTTCAGCTCCTCCGCCGGTTGTCCTTCGGATTTCGTCACCGTTCTGATGACGTCCGTCAACGATTCACTGTATAAGATTTTAAATTTCTGTTCTGGTTCTGTTTTAGAATAAATTTTGAATCTGATTTAAAAAATTTTTGTAACAGATGCAAGAGATTAAATAGTTCGGTGCTTCATTCTTTTGTGTTATGCAAAGACTCATCGAAAATGTTACCTATTAATGCAAAGAACTGGTCGGAGTCTGCTCACCGTTTTTGAAACTTTGCACCGATGTCAGAAATGCTGAAATTCGTTGCGCTCTCCTCCTCTTGGTGAGTTATTATATTTTTGTGACCCCAAGCGGATGCTTTTTTTGTCTCTGAACCTCATCAATAACTCTTATAGGAATGAATACATTTTAACCGTGGGAAGATTGTGGAAATTGATAAGAGCAATAAATAGTAAATGCTCTATAATTTGAAGAATTTGATCTGATGGAGAAAGGCATGTTTTTTATGCTACTTTGGCCTAAAGTTGTCTATCCCACGCTTAATTATATAGTATTCCTGATGAGTTGTAACTAACAAAACCTCGGTATATATGCTATCATTTTTAAAATGGATTTAAAATTCCATCAGAGTCTTTTGAAACTGGCTAGGTAAGGATGAAGATTTTGAAATTGACTTTCCAAAGACTTGGTTAACACTAGAGAGTAGCTAGCATTAATTAGTTTTTGAAAGAGAACAGAGTATAGTTGCGCTTGTACATGATTGAAATAGCTAAGTTTCAGTATCAAATATAAATAAGGTTTAACAAAAGACTACATGTAGCTGAATGTAGATGAGTATAAAGTGTTTATAAACAGACTTAGTAAAGTGAAGATACAAAAGGCTTACAAAATAATGGAGCTAATTCTAGTTTTGGTAAACATACAGGTTTGTGTTACTGAATGCTCGCAGGTTTGTGTTACTAAATGCTCACAATTGACATACTGACTCTCTGGAGTAGTAGGTAGGATGTTAGATACGCTTGACATGCCTCTTAAATCAGTCTGAAATGAGATGAAATACACTAGGGTGAGCTTGAGAAAGCTAATTATAT